CCACAGACAGGGGGGCAAGGGGCCACTGACCCCGCCATGTGCTCCATCTGGGTGGAGGCCTAAGAAGAGCCCATGGCAGGTGGCCGTGCCCGGGTGGGGCCCCTGGCAGCTGCTCTCCGCGTCTGCACCATGTCTGCAGAGCTGCGCCTGCTGCTTTTGCTCATTGGAGGTGCCACTCTGTGCAGCTACCTCGCACCCATCTTACGCGAACACTGGCGCAAACGCCGGTGTGCCCTTACAGAGCATGCCTGTTCTCGCACACTGCCCGCATGCAGCTCCCTGTCGGGCGAGCTAAAAGGGCTCCAGAGGGCTTCACCTCCGGATCTGCTTCAGCTGTGCTGTCACCTCTGCCCCACTTATCTTAGGGGGAAATCAGCTGTTGCTGTCCCCGCTGCTGTCTCCTCTGCAGCTGCTGCCTTCGCCGCCGAGGTAAGGTGGGTACATGTGTGGCACACATGCACCCTGTTCCCTCCGCTCCTGCTTCCCAACTGCCTTCCTTAAGTGTCTTCTGTTCTTCCTGTAGACATTTCCACTGGGGTGGGAGGTTACTACATAGGAGCACAGTTCATCCCTTTTTGCCATGACAGATGCTAGTGTTCAACCTTACTTTCTCCCCCTCTCATAGACGTGACAAGAATGCAGCCATGCGGTCATAGTGCTCTTTTTGTAACATAACCCATAGTTTATCGTGTGTGTATATATATGTGTATATATCTCTATATATATAGATATAAATATATATATATATGCATTCCCTTCCCTTCCCCAACTATTTTTGACTTTCTCTCTCCCTCTCTGTTCCCTATAGATAAGTATAAGTGAGTTAAGACATAGGATAAGTGTCAACATTTTTATTTTGGTAACAGGTTGTATTTGTTTTGGGTTTTTTTCTCCTTTATATTGTATAATTATGTTTATATTGATTTTTACTGCTCTATATTACTGTTTTATTGATATATATGATTTAGGCCTACATATGTAAGTTAGCATAAGTCGTGTCAAGTTTCCATTTTGTTTGTCAAGTCTCCATCTTGTCCCCATG